TGTTGGAATTATCATTTATTATAGAAACTGTCTAATTTCTTCTTTAATTTCACCTGTGACCCATTGATTGTTTGGAAGCTTATTATTTAATTTCTATGTGCTTATGCAGTTTTTGTGGTTCCTTTCACTATTGATTTCCAGTTTCATTGTACTATGATCTGATAAGATGCATAGGATAATTTGAATTCCTTTGCATTTACATAAGCATGTCCTATGAACTAGAATGTGGTATACTGTTTGAATATATACAGACTTCCACAATTTAGATGTTGGAACTTAGACTCTAAGGTAGGAAGAAAGTGGACCATTGGGAGATGATTAGGCTATTAGAGTTCCTGTCTCATAGATGAGATTAGTACCTTTATAAAAAAGCTTGAGGAAGTGAGTTCATCTCTTTGCTCTTCTACTCCTGCTACATGAAGATATAGTAAGAAGTTACCATCTTGGAAGCAGAGAGTGATTCTTTTTTAGATACTGAACTATCTGGCATTTTGACTTTGGACTTATCAGCTTCTAGAATTATAAGAAATAAATTTCTACCATTTGTAGAATACCTATTCTAAGATATTTTGTTATAGAAGAAGAGTAGACTAAGATAGTTACCTTTATATGTTAGTCACTAAACCTTTATATGTTAGTCAGCTTTTCACATTGTGATAAAATATCTGAGATAAACAATTTAAATGGAGGAATGGTTTATTTTGGCTTATGGTTTCAGAGATTTTAGTCCATGGTCTTTTGGTTATGTTGCTGTGGGGCTATGGCAACATGCTACATCATGGTGGAAGAAGGTGGCCAAGAAGGCTCCTCATTTCATGGTGGTCAGAAAGTGAAAGAGAGAGAAGGGAAGGTATGAAGTCCCAACATCCCTTTCAAGAGTGGGCTAACTTCCTTCCATTAGGCCCCAACTCTCAATAGCATAAAGGCTGGGGACCAAGCCTTTAGCATATGGACTTTTAGAGGGATGTTTAAGATCAAAAGTATAACAATCTATTCCCTTAAAATAAGAACCCTACACATATTTATGAGGCTGACTTGCTGTTCATTAAAATAATGGGTGGAAAATAGGAGTTGGCATTTTGCTGTATAAGATGTGATGATATAAATATCTGCTGCATAACATCATTATTCCACCTTTGTTTTGCTTTGTTTTTTTTTTTTAAGCCTGTAGCTCTTTAATCCCTAGGTTGGCCTTAATTAATTTGAGGTATATGATTGACATGTTAATTAGGCTCTCATTCAACCCTGGGCGTTTAATTATTGTACAATATCTCAACCAGCAGTTGTGCTCTGCACTCTCAAACTCATCAGGGCCTTTGTAGAGATTGTCCAGTTTTCTCATATTTCAAAAATTCCCATTTCAATAAAAGATAAATTGAAAGACTGATCATTACCATTGGAGATTGATTCCAGAAAATCTTTATTATTATTATTATTACTATTATTATTTTGTCTTTTTGAGACACGGTCTTGCTATACAGTTCAGGCTGGCCTTGAGCTCACTTTGTAGCCCAGGCTGGTCTCGAGCTCCCAACAATCCTCCTGCCTCAGCCTCCCGAGTGCTGGGATTAGAGGTGTGCACCGCCACGCCCAGCTTCCAGAGAATCTTTAAAGGGAAGCTCTGCTAGTGCATAAAGAATGGTTCAGATTACAAAAATCCAGTGAACATGTGACTTCCCAGGAACTCAACTATTGTTTAAAATTAAGAGAAATGTGATTTTAGCCTAAGATCATGGGAAATCTTAGGAATGAATAAGTGCAAACAGGTGACCTCTGCGTGGGTAGGGAAACAGTGACCAAAGACAAAATGTAATTTTTGATAAACAGACAAATTTCAAATCAATTCATGTATCTGGGCTTATGTGGCCAATGTCCACCCTCTTCCTTTTCTCTGAATCTCCTCTTCTGTCCACTCCAAGGGTGAGTGGAGAGGCCAGTTGTCTTTGCAGCTATTTGCTACATCTACTGGCAAAAGCCCAATGAAGAAATATATAAAAATTGTTATTTCAAAAAATTCTCCCAGAATGCACCTCCAAATGGCTGCTGTCTTCTTTGTTATTTTACTCTGTGAGGATTTTTCAGTCTCTGCATGTCTGGCTTGATGGATAACCTTGCCAATGTGGAGGAATACTTTAGACTAGAAGGAACAGTATCTTAGGCATTAGAGAAGCTTGAAGAATTCATTTTTCATACCTGCTTCAATGTGTTAATGACCAAAGGTCACACAAAATACGAAGTATTTGGATCCCTTGATATGGAAGTTAGCAAAAATGTTTCATGCCATTTTCCATAGCTGTTCCAAGATCACATCTGTTTGGAACTGAACCGTAGCATGTGTGCTGGGGAACCTGTATGAAATTAACTTTTATAGCTGACTTTACAAGCAGGATCTTTTATTGTCTACAACTTGGCTGGAATTCAGGAAGTTCCCAAAATGATTTATTGTCATATGTGCCTATTCTGTGGCGGCTGATGAAACTGATATATTATTGAACATATGCAGTCATTCTGGCTAGAAACAACAGATCATCTAAGCCTTTTATTCAAAAGAAGTGAAGAATCCACGTTGTGGAATGGAAAAAAAGTTGAGTATTTTGTTTTAAGTGAAATAATTACTTGCAGGAACAAAACATTTGTTACAGAAAAGAATCCTTTAATTCTTTTCTGTTTGCCAATATAGTAAAGACTTACGAGACTCTAGAATGTATTGTTTATATAAATATTTAAGGTAATAGTTCCCCAATAAATACTTGATTATATTCTTATAATACCTGATATGGGTAGTTCAATTTATTTGATTATAATAATAAAAACAAAGGTCATGAATTTAAATTCTTTCATATCACTTAATGTAACTCTCTCCTTCTGAACTTCTTCCAGTTTAACAGAGGGGTCCCTTTAACCTAGTCTTCCATATGGTCCCAAGAGAAATTTGGTGAAACGGTGGATAATGTAAAATGTAGTTTCTGTCTAGTAGGAGGAAACCTCAAGAACTCATTCTTCTATTGACAAATTAGGAGAATTTTCCTTCATAGAAGATTGCGTACTCAGCAATAACAACATAGTATTTGATTGAGTTAGAATACAGAAAATAAATAATTAAATATAATTCTAAACTCTGTACTTATAGCATATAAAACATTTAATCTTCTGGCATTATTTGGAACTTCAGGATTCAGTGTGTTCCTCCCTTTTAGACAGCTGATTGACACACCCACATTTCAATTGGAAATGGGTGGTCAAAAGTCTAGTTGTTTCAGACGGATTAGGATGTGAAGCTACAGGACTTCAGTGCAGGAAACTTGTCCTAAGTATTGAGGCCCAGCTGACCTTCCCTATGCTGTGAAAGAGGGAACAGCAAACTGTTCCCCCTTTGGCAGTGTGCCAGCATGCTGGCACGTAGCAAATTCCAGGGAAGAAGTCAACAACAGCTGAGATCTCATTTAGAGAAATACTTACCTGGGTACACTTTGCAAATAATGAGAAACAGATGAATTTCCCATTAACCTAATTGTTTGCTCCCTTGCCTAAGTTGGATAAAAGTGAAGTGAACCAGATGCTCAGGGTTCTTTGTCCACTAGAGGCAAGAGTCTCCTGGTCCCCCTTTCAAAATTGTCTCTGTGTTTTTCTTTAATTTCCATTTGCCCCCTCCCATTAGGCATAGCAGGCTGGTTTCCTGCACTTCAGAACTTGTAAGCCTGTGTCACATAGTGAGAAGACTTAGATCTGATTTTCTAGTTACAGTGTCAGTAGAAAACAAGCAAATCCCTAGATATTGTGTAAACATTGTCTACGAGGTCATCTGTGAGGCAAAGGCTAGGGTAGTTACAATACTTCAAATGAAATTCTATCTATCTATCTATCTATCTATCTATCTATCTATCCTTCTGTGCATCTATCCATTCATCCATCCATCTGTCCGTCCATCCATCCGTCCTTCTGTTCATCCATCTATGCTTTCTCTTAATAAACGCATGTACTCCTTTGGGAACAGAATTTGGAGCCTGGCTTTGGGATCCTGCCTAGTCTACACTAATCCCCTTTATTTCAAAGCATTTTTTCTTTAAAATGGAAGTAGATACCACTTTACTCACTTTCATAAGGAATTTATGTATCAACAGATGTCATTATCATCCTACAAGCAGAAAAATGGAAGCTTGATGGATTTAGCATAAAAGTATTTAACTTATCCCTCAAATTCTGGTGATATGTTTCTGTGTTCTGGTTGAGCACGGGAAAAGATTGATTCCTAGTTGCAGATGCCTTAGCTATATTCAGAAATGGCCTTCTTTCAACTTTAATCTGTTTGGCTCAAGGTTTGACATAGTTATGTGTTAATATATTTCCTAGACAGGTGAGTTAGCTTCAAAGTGTAAAATAATCTTTTGTAATGGTGGACCCTCCCTTTAACTCCAGGTAATCTTGTCAGAATGGTATGATTCTGTAGGCGGGCCAGGTGGAAATGGGTGACTCCATGTCTTCAGAACTCAAGGCTGGAAGCAAACAATTTAAATGTGTGTATATGTTATAGTCAGATACGTTGCCTTTTTGTATGAAGAAGGATAGCACATTTTCACAGGGCTCTGAAAGTTATATGTGAGTAATGTTAATTTGGTGTAAAACTTCAAGTGGCATATTACTAATGCCAAAGAACAAAGCAGTGGAGGATCTGGTAACTAATTATTAACAGCACTGTCACTATTTTATGTAAGTGTGAACAAGAATCATATGTTTCTTGTAGTTCATTTTGTTGATGTGCTTAGTCTTGGTGGTGAAAGTGTGATAATGAGCAGCTAGCTGGTCCCTAAGAGTGGCTGTGGTCCCCCTCTTGATAGCAGTATTTTGTATTTATGCCCAAAGGCCCTGGGGGCAGTGGACAATCTTTAAATAAATGAGACAATTTAGTAGTTGTTATGATTTAAAAGCAGTATTACAGACTTGAGTTAGCAGAACCTGTCATAACAATCTGAAGTTAATGACACTGTGACTTGATTTTGCAGAAAACGTCTGAGACTACCAACTGGAGTTTTCTAGATTTCACATACAATGGGGCTCTGCCTTTCCTGAGAGCTCCATCTAGGATCTGGGTCTTGCTGTGGAAGTAGAAAGAATAGACGTTGGTGAGTATGAGGATTTCCCTTTTCTCAGGGATTTTAGGAAGAGATGGGAACTTTGATACTATATTTGTTCAAGACCAGGTCAACAGCTATGGCTAGCTGGCTTATTTTATTATAATTTTTTATAAAGATGCTTTATTCAACAATCTTGAGAAGATTTATCTAAAGTTCATGATAGGACAAAAAAAAAAAAAAAGGATTCCACTCTAAAAGCTGGATGGTTATGGAGTTAAATGCACTCCAGATCAAGGATTAGTATCCTGCGTGTAAAATATAAAAAGAGAAGCTACAGATAAAGGAAGAACAATTTAGAGGGAGAAATTTAGAATTACAGAATTCTAAAATATAGGGTCAGAATAGACCTTAGGGCAATTGCCCAATCTGTCAGCAGATGAGGCCCAAAGACATTAAGATCTTGTGGTTGGTTAGTGGGAGAATTAGAATTAAAATTAGCATTAGGCTCCTACCTCTGAGTCCAGTGCTCTCTCCATGTAAATTCCTTAAGAGACCCTAACTCCATGAATAAGCCAAGCCATACAAGGAAGCATCTGAGTGTAAACTGATCTTTGGGTAGATCGCTGTGTAGATAATTGGTCTTGTGCCACAGACATCTCACTCTTCCCTGCAAATGAATAAATTTACTATCTGGGATAAATCAATTTCATGTGCCTCCAGGAAGCTTCAATCACTTCCTAGGGCCTTTGAACTGTGGATCTGAAAATCTGGGCTCTGGCCTTAATTCTGTCAAGTCACTTAATCTCTCAGGTCTGTTCTTTTATTTATAAGTTAGAAGAGTAATCAGGTGATCCCTTTCAGTTCCAAATGACTACAATTCACTTGAAACACATTTGAAGAACAGATATGGGGGCTATTTCTTGACAGGATGGTGACTGTCTTTTTCACATGCAAACGTGCATTGTGAATTCCAAAAGGGATGATGGCTATGAAGAGTTAGTGGAGGAGTATGGTGTCAGGAGTATCCTGACACCAGTGAACAAAGTTGGAAAAGACCTAAGAAATCAACAGAATAATATTCAGATAAAGGGAAGAGAAATGAACCCAGTTAATACAGAACACAGATCCAGCTCACTGAGAGTCCTTTGGCTGAGAACATGCTAGAATCCAGATCTCTGAGTATCTCAAATCTGCTCCAATAATGTGATAGGAAAAAGAAATGTTCTGTGATCACACACATTTTTATGAGACTGGGTACAATAAACTCCAACTAGCATCTTTAGGAAAAATTTCTCAGAGCCTTTAACATGATCAAATGGTTTGAGAAACTCCAAGATACAGAATTTCCCGGATAAATTTGGCCATAATGCACATTGTGTTCTGGTACATTCTATGAGAAATGCTGTGAAGGAACAGATCTGCAGAGAATAAGGAGGAGAGTTCAGGGTGATTCTTTAGAAGTGCTGAGGGATGTGGATCAAAAGTTGGAAGGTAAGAACTGAGCACCCACACAGAAGTCCTTCTCTAGACATCAGAGCAGGTCAAGAGATGACTGGAGCCTGAGACAGACATTGGGAAGACCGTGACCTTGAAGTGCAGGCCAATGATACAGCACCTGCTTTCACAGTGGGTGAACAGCTTGTAAACTGTCTCATTCTTTCAATGATGTCAAGCTATTTATGTTACTTAAATGGCCTCTAGTTATTTCCTGGGCCATAAATAGTATGTACAACAGACTGTCCTCATGTTGAAGTAAAGGTTTTTATATGTTTTTTTTTTTTTTTGGCAAAGATTAATTTTTCAGTTTGGATTCTGAGCAAAGGAGACAGGTTAGAGCTCAGAACAAAGTCTTGGATGAAGACGGATGGCATGTCCATGCTGGTAGGGGCCTGGAGTTCTTGCCTTGAGCTCCACTGGTCTTTCTCAGAGGATCCATGGATTCACGTGCACAGTTTTGTGGAATGTACTCAGCTGCTGTTTCTCTGAAGAATGACTTTCATCAAATTCTCAAATGGGTCTGTAATCTCAAAAGTTGTCAACAGTACCTTACTATAGCTCCTTGTAGAAGATAGGAAACTAAGGCTTGGAGTGATGAAGTAGTTTGCTAGATGTCAACCTAATTGTTTCAGCTGTGGGTTGGAGCAGTGAAGATCACCTGAGAAGTGGTAAGCAACAGGGCTGGAGGAAAATCCACTTGGTGATCCTTGATCATCAGTCTTAGAGTTGTCCTTGCCCTTGTGCTGAAGTAGGCTTTGCCACGTGCATTATACTTCTGGTTTTGCGGGTAGAACACAGACGGGGCAAATCATTCAGTGACCCGAAACTTGAACACTTGCATTAGAAACTCCGAGGCTTGACTCTCACAAGAAATCACTCATAATTAATGTGTCATACATTCCATACATAACAGCCAAACCTGGAAATGAAGTTTGGTTTCAAACATATGATAATCAGTAAAGGTTTCTGCTGGGTTTAGGATCATGCTGCGATTTTGTCTTGGATATCTCAAAGATTTCAACATCAGAAATGTTTTTATTTTTACCTTTTCTGGAGCATGATATAATTTGTCTGCTTGATTGCATTTTAATTAGCACTCCCATTGCCTGTTTAAGCATGCAAGGATATAAAACAAGCCAACCAAATAGGAAGACATATAGCCAAGGTATTTGCTACTGGGACATTGTTGAGCACTGCCTTGGGATAAAGCTTGCACCAGACTGAAGTTTAACAGTGTGAACTGGTTCAAAATAAACCAATTTGTATGCATAATATTTCACATAAGGGTTAAGCTGCCTTAGCAATTGTTGATAATTATGGATATTTGCACAGCTCTGAGGGTTTTTGAACATTCTTTTTGAGTAAATCAGCATTTCCACAATTAAAAATAGAAGAGTTTTGTACGGGGCCTTTTTACGGATGTTTTGAGTGGTTTGATGATGATTCTGGAAACCCTAAAACCACAGCAGAGTGTTGCCATGTGCAGGGTGTTGGAGGCAGGAAGAAAAGGGGAAAGAGATAAGCCATAAAAGCAGACTTAGTTTTGGAGGGTGGCTTTAACTCTCTTTATGGTACAGCATGAGGTGATAGCTCAGCGTGTATGTACTGCTCCTCCGGGAGCCTCTACTTTTCACAGTCCTATACTAGGCTGGTAAGATAAAAATAAATGCAAGATAAAGAGAATTTGCTCTTCTGGACCCAAGCTTGGAAGCTTGAACTTCTAAAACCATTCGAGGATGCTGAGTTTAGCAGATGGGCCCTTGGCTGATTCCTTCAGTCTTTTTGATAGTGACTATAGGGAGTTAGATGAGCTGTGTGTAGCTTGGGCTGGTGGTCAGATTGTGTGGTTATCCATTATTGGTCAGCTCAAAGTTAAGCTGCTAAGTGATTTATATAATAATCTATCCATTTAAATAAAATATAGTCATGCACTGCATAATGACATTTTGGAAGACAACAGAACACATATGTGACAAGGATCTCATAAGATTATGATGGAACTGAAAAATTCCTCTCACTTAGTGATGTCATACCCTTTGTGACATCATAGCACAACCCATTACCAAATGTTTGTAGTGATGCCACTGTCAACAAACTTACTGCACTGTCAGTCACATAAATTTGTAGCACTCTGTGTGGTGACAACACTTGATAATGATAAGTAAATGACTGTTTCTGGTTTGTGTTACTTTAGCATGTGCTCTTCCCTTCATAGAAAGAGGTGACTGTCAAACGGTATACTGTGTTACACAGACAGCAGCCTCATATACCTGTGTTTAGCATCTCTTGATTGCATCAAGAGGCCACGTGAAGTGATTGACCTAGACCATCTAGATTTGTGTAAGTACACTCTAGGATGTTTGCACTACCATGAAATCACATAATGATATCTTTTCAAAACGTAGCCTGTCAATATGTGACTCATGACTTTACTTTAAGAAGAACTGAAATAACTGTTCCATGGATTGCTCAACCAGCAGCTGGTCCACTTAGGATTCAATGCAATGAGATATATAAACCTTCCCCTTAAGTCACATCATGACCAAAAATCTCTAAAGATTAAAAAGAAATCACATACCTGTGTAGCTCTGAAAGAGAAACTGAAGCAAATTTAGAGCTAGTGACACAAATTGTTTCACAGCCCTGTAATTATGACATCTCATTGAGCAGAACAGTTCAGTGGACAGAATTACTATTTCTGGGTGCATTCAGAATTATGGATTTTGCAAAGGAGAGCATTTCCATCTTCGTGATAAATAACACATCACAATGTAGTCCATTCAAAAATAATCTTGTAACAATTTAATTGCCCTGAACAAGAACTACCAGTTCCTCATGGGGGACGTCCATAGTATTCTGGGGACTAGATATGATAAACTATCAGAGAGGCTTGACCTCTGAACTCTTAATGCCCAAACAATGCACCGTCAACTCAATAACTGACATTGCTGATGGCAAGGGTCCCATCTGATGACTTACTTGTCTTTCCCCCACCGAGTTCCTTATAAAAAAGAGGGAAGGGGTACAACAAAAGAGGGGCGAGCCGGAATCTTTGTCCATTCTGGGCTCTTTGCATTGGAGCTGACAAATGAGAGAGAAAGCGCACACTTCCTGCTCTTTCTCTGGGAGCCCATTAAGCCCTCTCTCTGGTAAACAGGCCTGCTGTTGCTTTTGTTGAGTTCCCTTCCATCCCCCCATTTGTTTAAAGCTTTGAAAGTCCTACAACTGCTGTGGCCATCATTCTCCCAGAAAACAACATACACAATGGCAGGGTGACAATGGGAGAGGGAGGCTGGCCGCGGTCCCTTTGTGTCTCAGGGTTTCCGGGGATTTGTCAGGTCAACACAGCTGCTCTGCTATCCTTGCGTAGATCCTGGGGCCGACAGGTGGAACAGGTTCTCTCAGGTTGATCTGTAGTAACATGCTTTTGCCTTTTTGAAGTGTGATGGGGCCTGAACAAGGAAGTTCTCCCCATTCTCACTAGTTCCTAGATTTCTGACTTAGGCCCTGCCAGAGTCTGTACATAGTGCTTGGAGATACAGTCTAAGTAC